GAGAGCGCGCACACATAGATTGGTTGTGTTCATGTGTTGGAGAGAGACGGAATTCCCTTGGTTTTTGGGTGTTAACCCTCCGCGCCTCCTGTGGAGGTTCTTAAAAAGCATCTCCCGGTGGTGGGGGTGGTCGGGAGACGGCCCCCGACCTTCCATCTTTATGGTCTGAAACTCGGCGACTGTTTGATTTCAGCGCAGAAGATAATATGTATACAACAAAGTGTAAAGTGATGCAGAGGAGGCGCCGTCTTCTTCGCAGCAGGCAGAGAGACGCAGGGACACAGGCTCCTTTTTTTTTTTCTTTTTTTTTTTCCAGCATCGGTTGCCCCAAATAAATGTACAGAAAACAGTTGTTTTTTCCCCACCCCTCCCCCAAAAGGCATATTCTTCATTATTGGGGAGTTTCTTATCACTTTATTTATATTTGCATATTTGTACCATGTGATTTCTTTTTTTTTTTTTTTTCTTTTTTTTTTTTTTTTAAATAGCATTCATAGCAGGTAGGTCTCTTTTTAACGAAATCTGCACCACTCTGTTTCAGAACGACTCGTGTTTTGCTGTTTGGAGACATTTAACAAAGCAGGTCATTTAGATGTTTGTTTCTAAAAATGTATTGAAAGGGTATTTTTGTATGTGTTTATCACTTCCTTTAAATGAGTCCGTACACCCATTAAACCCCTAAAAACTACTCCGGTGTCTGTTCTTTGTCGCACGTTTGTACATTTGTTGTTGCCACATGCAGAGTCGTAACTATAGATGGTGCGAGTGCACTGTGGGGCCCACAAAGAGAGAGAGAGCCCGCCAAAAAGGTGTTCCAAATGCTCCAAGCAAATCCCAGGTGACAGAGCGCCATCTACAGGCGGATTTCCGTCAAATGTGAATTATCTGTTCCGTAACTGTCCGTTTATTTTTACTGCTAACGGTAAAGATTTTACAGGTAATGCTGAACTAAAGTTCACAAGTGTGAGTTCCTACCCGGAAACTTTTAGCCGTTAACAACGGGGGCTGAGGTTAGCACAGCAAGCGGCGGAGAGCCTCTGTATGTAATTTAGTGTGCTTTACTTTAGAGTTAGTACAAAGTACATATAATAGCAATTAAACAGTGATCTAATTAGAATACGAGCAATATAGAGGAAAATACAAATGCATAAAATAGAATAAAGACATTTCAAAAATTCAGTAAACAAAAGCGTGTGAAAAGAATTTTTAACCTGAATTAAAAAATGTGCTACATTTGTTTAACTAAGAGTTTCTTCTAAGATCTGTCAGTTTGTTCCAGTTACATGCAGAACAACTGCTACATTGACATAGCCACAGTGGCACTAATTGAAACTCCCTTCCTAATGCACAATTTGATTACATTTTTTTTTATTTCACATGATGGATTCTTTTTTTTTTTTTTTTTTTTTATAGCCTATTATGACCTGTAGCCTTTTGGTAAAGTGTTGGTTCAGTGTAAAACAGAAGGGTTTGAAATGTTACTTCTATTTACAATGTACATAGTTTACTAAAGCTGCCAGTGGCAAACTGCTACGTTAGTCTGCCAGTAGTAGGATTGTCTGTCTTCAACACTTAACGTATTACTGGCGTATTAGCAAAGGTTATGAAAGTGACTAACTTTTTTTCTTCTACTGTATGCTGGTTGCCTTTATAGTTGATAAAGATAATAATTACAGGTAGTTGGTGTTTTTATTCTAAATTATTGCTGGATGGTTAAAATAAGTTAGTTTTTTTTTTTTTTTTAGTAAGGAGAGAAATGGCATAGTTTCTGAAGGTTAAATGTTTTATTTCATACTCTTCATGCATGAATTAGTGCCTTTGCTAGGGATAAAAATCATGTCCAGAATGCACCAAATTGCACCATTTAAAAAGAGAATGTTAGTTTGTGCCTCTTGGCTTGTTGCCTCACAACTATTACACAAGTTTAAATAATAAAAATAATAAAATAGGGTGCCATTTGTTAAATATTGCCCTCGAGAAGGCAAACCGGTCTCCTTCAAGGTTTTTTGAAACCTTTGGACAGAGCCAGGCTAGCCGTTTCCACTCATGCTAAGCTAAGCTAACCGGCTGCTGACTCCAGCTACACATTGAGCATACAAATAGAGCTGCAACAGTTTTCACATCTAGCTAACACTTAAAACATGTATGTTCCTTTACGCTACTTATCAAACCGCTAAGGTAGTCAAATATGTTATTATATAAAAACAGATGGTTAGCTTTGTGACTCTGATGTAATGTTTCAACACGAGCGGTACGAACTAGCTAGATCAACAATGAACAGATGCTGCCACTGCGCTCCTCAGTGCCGTCTGGTGCATGTGTTGACAAGCAGAAAGTCAAACAGTTGAATGGACACCATTACTGTTTTTACATTTGCTTTTATTTATTTTCTTCTCGTGGCAAGTCTGCTTATCACGTGCCTTTCCCCTTCATATCTTATCTTTGAGTGTAACACTAACACTCCCCGCGCGGTACTTTCGAGGCACACACGTTTAGTGTGTGACGAGGAGTGACTCCTCCCCTCTCTCGATCTCGCTCTCTTTTGCCGTGTGTCATGCGGCCCTCTCATTGGTCAGTTCAGATGGAGGGGGCGGTGACGGAGGGGGAATTCCCACCCTCGCTGGTCTCCTGTAACAAATGTTACTTTTCCTCTCCACTGTCACTCATTCAGCTCGGTGTTCTCCGAGACGATAACCTGTGATTCGACTGAGAGCGTTGTGCATCATGGATGGTGGGTAGCAACACCTTTATTTACTGTAAAATAATAACGATAATGGTAACTCGTAGGATGAGGTTAAAACAGGATGTCATAAATACTAATAATCATGTGACTTAAGTTGTATGTATATTCATATCTTAAGCCTGAATGTACAATAGCAACATGTGCTTAATTTCTTATTAAATACTATTTTGCCCCGTTTATCTTAAGTCTGTTCAACAACAGTGCAACTTCCTCCTTGTTGCAGTGATTGAGACTGGAATAAGTGTCAGCACAGCTTTAGCAGAACTGAACGAGCTCAGCAAAACACAACAAACCAGTTTGTTGTGACATATTATTATTATTAGGTCATGTTATCACCAACTATATTCAGTACAGTCTTGTATCTGCTTGCTAATTATCTTCCTACATGTCACTTTTTGTCTCCCTCCCCAGTTCTTATGCCCTCCATGCTAGGGGACGATCCACACATGAGTAAGTGCATTTTAATACCCCTTGTGTCAAAATAACGCTGAAAAGTGCCAAACAATCTCTGAATGCACAGAATGGCCTCTTTTACTTCCTCATTTAGTTTTATTGGTAAGCACTCCTTTTTTAGGCTTATCAGTGTGAGTTCATGTGAGGTTCCTGTAATCCTCATCTGTATGAAAGATTATATGTTGACATTTATGTGCGTGTGAGCTGCATCACCTCTCAGTTCTGCCATTCGTGTCCTCGGCCAAAGCGGCTGCAGAAAGGAGGAAGGCAGGCCGTGGCCCCGGCCGCCCCGCTTTGGCAAACATATTTCTCAATTAAGTCAGAAATGTAACAGGACTTGTTTGACACCGGCCAACGTAACAACCGTGTGCACGGCCTGTCGCTCGGCTGTCATGTCCACGAAAACACATTTCAGTGTTGTTAAATCGTTGTACGATTCACACTTCCCTGATCAGTCTTAGTTCCTCTCTCACAAAGGCCCGTTTTTGTTTCATGCAAAAGGGTCAAAGTGGGACAGACAAAACGCATTTCATGCTGTTTTGAATGCCGAATTTACTTTTTTTTTTTTTTTTTGCAAATGCTTTGCAGTTTAAAAGACGCCTTGGTCTACATTTGATGCTGAGAGAGTTTTAAGCATGACGTTGTGTCCAACTGTATGTCAGCAACTTATCTGAAAACGTTTCCTTTCCAACCAAATGCTTCCCCAATTCTAACCAAAGATGTGTAGACTAACTGCAAAATCACCAAAGCCTGAACCAGACATTGTTCCTTTTAAATCACTTTTATACAAACCTTTAGGCATAGCTCCAGAATACACAGAGAGAACTACAATATCCCCTCACCAAAACAGGCTTCAGGGTATTGTGCTGGTCATTTTTCACAATTTTCTAACATGTTATAGAACCAAGTTATTTTTTTTACAGGAGACATTTTGAAGTCAAAATGCCGTGTTTTGACTTTAAAATCTGGACGTCTTCAAATTCAATGCCTCCTGGGTTACTACATGTCAGCAACAAGTTCATTACCAAAGTGTACCTTAGCTTGACTATTTGATCCTACAACTAAAAAAATAAAAAGTAGTAAAAACTAACCACAAGGGAAAGTATTCATGGTTTTGGTTGATCTGAATCCATCTTCATGCGCTCCTCTCCACACCCTGTCATTGACTCTCCCCCCCCCCATCATCTGTGCTCTCTGTAGTGGCTGAGCCAGCCGTCCAGATCTACGAGGAGCCCAAGCAGAGGGGGATGCGCTTCAGGTACAAGTGCGAGGGTCGCTCGGCCGGGAGCATCCCCGGCAAGAACAGCTCCGACAACAACAGGTCCTACCCCAGTCTGCAGGTCGGTCGGTGGAACTTAAAGACCCACACGTTGTGTTTGTGTTTGTACATAAACTGCATATTTCTCTGTCCTTTGCATCAGTTAGCGTTACCTAAATAAATGCCCCCCCCCCCATCCCTTTTCCGCAGATCCTGAATTACTGCGGCAAAGGCAAAGTGCGTGTCTACTTGGTGACGAAGAACGAGCCGTACCGGCCGCATCCGCACGACCTGGTGGGGAAGGACTGCAAGGACGGATTCTATGAGGCCGAGTTCGGCCCGGACCGCAGGGTGATCGCGTGAGTTCTCCACCCACAGTCGCAGCACGCACACACACACACACACACACACACACACACACCTACCCTCACTATTTCATAATCAGTTTGCTCTCTATTAATAGTATTTTGTGTTTCACTTGACGGTTTCGAAATTCATTGAGTGTAAATCGGTGACCTCTCGGATACAGAGACACACAGCTAATCTCACACCACACCACACACACACACACACACACACACACACACAGCATATTTGTCAAACCAGGTCTGTGATGAAGGTGGCAATACAGATTTCCCCAAGTGGCATCACCCATATCTGTTGTGTGTGTGTGGGGGGACTCGTGCATGTGTTTGAGAGTTTGAATGAGTCATTAGCTTGTGTTGCTTCTAAATTGCAAATCCTTCGTGGTTTACATTAATCTCAGCCCTTCTATGCATATAAATCCTCCTGTAGATTGGGGTCAAACATTCATCATTGAACAATCGTTTTTTTTTTTTTTTGTTAAAGTCAGACGGGTTGGGGTGAGTGCACGATCGCTTTGACCTTCACACGCGACCACATTCTTTTTCTTTCTTTTTTTTGGCCCATCATACTTCGCTCAGGTGTGGCCCCGTGTGTTTTGTTTATTCATTCCTGTCAGCACTATAAGAGCCCGTCACGTTTTCTCACGGCCCCGTGTTGTGTTACGCAGTTTCCAGAACCTGGGCATCCAGTGTGTGAGGAGGAGGGAAGTGAAAGAAGCGATCGTGCAGAGGATGACCCGAGGGATCAACCCCTTCAATGGTGAGTCCTCACGTCTCATGTCTGTTCTTTTCAGCCCACTAGTGTAGTAACATGTTGGCTTTAGAGGCCGACCGATACTGTTAAATACACATCAGGGAGCCACGCGTTGCTTTATTATTGTCAACATGGCTTCTGTGGTTTACTTTGGGTAAACTACACTACAGCACCCAATGTGTATTAATCCACAGCTGAAAATAGTCCCCAACAAATGCACTATTTATTTAAGCTATATTTGATTTGATAAAAGCTACAGTGCCCACCTACTTTAGGAGCTCTTAAAAAGTGCAGCTATATATTTGTGGTTTGTTTTTTAAAGATCTACATCTTCAGTAAATATAAAAGTTGGTTTGGTCCTTTTAATGGGATTTGTTTTTACCGTGAAACAAAAGTAAAGGCAGCGGCGTTTTTTTTCATGCAATTAATTACGATACAAAATACGTCATTAAATACCGTGAATCGCAAATTGTGATGCTTTTGAGTGTCTTTAAAAGGCGGTAGCTAACAAGTGGCTAAATAAGACTACAAAACGTCATCACTCCGACTAGTACACCTGCACAGCCTCCGGAGGGGGAAAACAATTGGCGCCACAATATGCGAACAAAGGGCTGAAACGCTAACAAAATGCCTGCGGCTAGCTAAAAACATTTAGCGTGTCAAATTTTAGCACGCTATGTCAACCGGGGGGTGGAGTTGATACCTAAAAGGATGATTGGACAAGTTAGCAGGCTGTTAGCTATGTGTTAGCAAGCTAATGTAGTTAGCCTAGACACTTGCAAACACAATAGGGCATAGCATTCTGACGTGGCCACATTCCACTATGACACATGTCGAATACTGTCAAAATGCGTTAGTAACGTTAGCTAGCTTTAAACCGACATTTGGACAAAATGCTTGCTGCACATGTAACGTGTGTCAGAATCCCACCCGTCTTTGCTGATGCCTCACTTTTTTGTTCGGCAACTTATAAAAACAACTATATATCTAAAATTGAAGCCTCTAAATCTATCTGTAATAACATACAGTTGTGTGAAAAAGTGTTTGCCCCCTTCCTGATTTCTTATTTTTTT